AATATTGGAATCTTTGTTTACCATGACTCCTTCTGTAACTTACGAGAATAGTTATCGTTCTGATCATTCACCAGTGGTGTTAAATTGTAAATTAAATGAGTTCATAAAAGGAAGAGGATTCTGGAAATTTAATAACTCTTTACTAACTGATAAGGAATTTGTTAAAAAGATAAAATATAAGATTGAAGAGGTCAAAGTTCAGTATGTCTGCCCTGTTTACAATATGGAAAGACTTAGTTGTCTAGGTAATGATGATATTCAATTTACTATTAGTGATCAACTTTTTCTTGATATTTTACTAATGGAGATAAGAGGAAAGTCAATCTCTTATTCCACTTACAAAAAGAAGGAAACAAATGAAAGAGAAAAACAATTAGAAAAAGAAATATTTGAATTAGAACAAAATTTAACAGAACAGTCAATAAATGAACTTTCAGAAAAACAAACAGAAATAGAAGAAATAAGAAAAAAAAAGGTTTAAAGGACAATGTATCAGGTCAAAGGTTAAATGGATTGAGGAAGGAGAAAAACCATCAAAATACTTTATTAGTTTAGAATCAAGAAACTATGTCAGTAAGCAAATTCCAAAAATAGAAAGAGATGATGGATCATTTGTTTCTACTCAGAAAGATATTTTAGAGGAAACAAAGTCTTTTTATGAACGCTTATATAAAAAAAGGGAAAATGTTGAATCTGAAAATATTCATGAAAAATTAAAAACCTATAAAAATATTCCCAAGTTAAGTAAAGAAGAATCAAAAAGTCTTGAAGGTCCAGTGACAAATTCTGAAGTTTTTAATTTCCTAAAACAAATGAAAAATGAGAAGAGTCCTGGCCCCGATGGATTTACTTGCGAGTTTTTCAAATTCTTTTGGAAAGATATAGGTTCTTTTATTACAAGAGCAATAAACAATTCTTATGATCTAACACATTTTACAGAATCAAATAAACTTGGAATTATAACTTGTATTCCAAAATCAGGAAAACCAAAACAGTTTTTAAAAAACTGGCGGCCAATTAGTCTACTAAATGTTGTTTATAAAATAGCTTCAGGTTGTATTGCTGAACGAATGAAAACAAAATTAGATAAATTAATCAATAGAGATCAAACTGGATTTATAAAAGGAAGATTCATAGGGGAGAATATTAGATTAATATACGATTTGATGCATTATACAGAATTAAACCAAGTACCTGGTTTACTAATGCTTATAGACTTTGAAAAAGCATTTGATACAATTTCATGGAAATTTATATATCAAACATTGGACTTTTTCAACTTTTGGCCCTCCATTAAAAAATGGATTGAGACTTTCTACAGTGGTATTAAATCATGTGTAATACAAAATGGTATTATCTCAGACTATATATTTCCTCAAAGAGGCTGTAGACAGGGCGACCCAATTTCACCATATCTCTTTTTGTTATGTGCAGAAATAATTGGAATTCTTATTCGAAATAATAAAGACATTAAAGGCATAACAATCGAAGGCGAAGAATATAAACTTTCACAATATGCTGATGATACATCCCTTATTTCAGATGGTTCACCTACCTCAATGGATAGTATTCTAAGAGAACTCGATTATTTTGCAAATATTTCCGGTTTAAAAATTAACTTCTTAAAAACAAAAATGGTTTGGATTGGAAGTAAAAAATATTCCAAGGAAGTTTTTCACCATTCTCGATGGAAGCTTGATTGGGATAATTCAAACTTTGATTTGCTAGGAATAAAATTTTCAGTTAATCTGGAGGAAATGCTTGAATTAAATTACATGTCAAAATTAAATGATATTAAAAAACTCCTATGTAGTTGGAGTATGAGGAAACTTACCCCAATTGGTAGATTAACAGTAATTAAAACTCTTATAATACCAAAACTAAATCATCTGATTCTTACACTACCAAATCCTAAACCTGAATTTCTAAAAATGTTTGAGACAGAGTTGTTTCTTTTTTTATGGAATAGTAAAATACATAAAATAAAGAAAAATGTTATAATTCAGGACTATAAATATGGAGGGCTGAAAATGGTAGATTACACAGAATTTATTTCTGCACTTAAATCAAGTTGGGTTAGAAGACTCATTCATTCAGATGCAAAATGGGTAAAGTTGTTTAAAGCTGAACTAAAAACAGACATTGAAAACATGTGGATAAGGGGCTCGGATTACATTTTAAACTTAACAAAGAATTTAACAAACAATTTTTGGAAAGATGTCCTTAATTCCTGGGTAAGACTTATAAATATAAACCAAGAAAACAAACATGTGTTATTAGAACATATATGGAATAACCCACATATATTGATTAATGGAAAATCTTTTTTCTGGAAAAGCTATTTTGAGGAAGGCTTTGTCTTTTTAAATGACCTTTTTGATAATGATGGTAGCTTTTTAAGCTTCGATACCATAGTAAACTTGAAAGTGAAAACAAATTTTGTTGAATATAATGGTCTTAAGAGGGCTATATTAAAAAGACTGAAGTATGCAGGAATAGAGGACATAAAAAGATTAAAGGTTATTGGACCAAATATTCCACATTCAACTTTCATTTTTTATAGAAGTAATAAAGGGTGTAAAGATATGTATAAAATATTTATAAATAACAAGAGAGAGCCAATCAGTTCTCTTTTAAAATGGAATGAAAATAATGTTTTCTTTGATGAAGCAGATTGGAATAAAATATTTGAACTTCCTTTCAAAGTTACTCAGGAATCCAAATTTCACTGGCTCCAATTTCAAATATTACACAGAATTATTCCAACAAATTATTATCTTTTTAAATTGAAGCTGATTGACTCACCAGCTTGCACCTTTTGTTTAAGTGACTTAGAAACAATTGACCACTTGTTTGTAGAATGTTTCAAAGTAAAAGATTTATGGTGTAGGATTGAAGAATGGGTTTTGGACAAATTTGAGATGCATTGTAGTTTTGATAAAATGTCAATACTTTTTGGTAAATACGAGAACAGGAATATTTGTAAAGTACAAAACTTGATTATACTTACTGTAAAACAATTTATTTTTGCAAGTAAATATAAAAGTATTCCAAAACTAAATATCGACATCCTAATAAAGAGGATTATAGAGAGAATTTTTATAGAAAAGGTGTTGTTATTACAAAGTTGCAAATATATGGAATATGAAAGGCACTGGCAAAAAATCTGTGATGTTCTTTGAAAAAAAATCATTTGTTTTTATGGTAAAACGTTATTATATGCTAATTTTAAGGATTTACATTAGCTAATTATAAACATTTGAATGCATTTTGCTACGACTGCTGACCCCACCCCTTTTTTTTTCTTTTTTTTTAAATAAAATAAAATAACTTTCACGTATACAAGTAAACTTTGTACTGCTGTAAACTAATGAAATTATCAAGACAATTACCGTGTATATGTGTTTATATGTTTTGCTTATATATATATATATGTATAGTCTGCTTTGTGTACTTGTGAAAGTCAATAAAAAAAAAAAAAAAAAAAAAAAAAAAAAGTTTTGAAAATACCTTAAAAAAAAAAAGTTTAAAGACTTTGTGGACCTTGTAAAGGCGGAAGCTAAGAAGGTGAATGATCCAACATATGGATTTCAGCAAGTAAGAGGCTCGAGCTCACAACAGAAACCAAAGGGAGTATCTTGTGAAGTAACCAAGTTATACCCTGCGCAGAAATGTGTTTATTGCAATAGTGTTAATCAAACGATAGACAAATGTAGAAAGATTATAGAACTAAATAGGGATAATAGAATTGTGTACCTTAGAAGAAAAGGACTGTGTTTTGGATGCTTAAAGCAAGGACACCTTAGTAGTCAGTGTAGGAAAAGGCTTAAGTGTACAGAGTGTTCGCGACAACATCCAACTATCCTCCATAATGAGAATCAAAGACTCAAGAACAATCAATTAGCTGAAGAGGCGTCTGTGTGTGGGAAACAGCTTGAAGCAGTGATTTAGAAAAGATGACTCCAAGCCAAGTGTTAAAGCAATTTCTCCTGGATGTCATGAAGAAACTGAGGATATATCATGTGCAATGGCCATCATACCTGTACGTGTAAAACTCAAGAACAAACCTTACACCGTGGAGACGTACGCATTTTTCGACTCTGGTATTAGCGTATCATTTTGCACGGAGGATATCATGTACCAGTTTGGAGCACATGGTAAAAAGACACAGATTACTATCAGTACTATGGGAGACACTCAGAAATTAAATACTTATGTGATGAATGGATTACAAGTATCAGGACTCACCGCAGAACACTATTGATCTCCCTAAGTTATACACACAAAAAAAACAAATGCCGGTTTCAAATCAAGAGATCCCAACAAAAGAAGAAATTAGAAAGTGGTCTCACTTGCAGTCAATTCCGTTTCCAGAGGTCGATGCAAACATTGGGATTCTGATCGGCAATAACGTTCCAGATGCGTACACACCATTTGAGCTGGCAGTAGGACCAAGAGGTTCACCCCATGCAACTAGAACCAGACTAGGCTGGATTCCTTGGAATATAATAAGAAACAGAACAACCTTTGATGTGAATCATGTGTGTATTCAAAATGATTGAACACAGCTTGATCATATTTTCAAACAAATAATGAAATTTGACTTTCCAGAGGCTGAGCTGATGGTGGATGATAAGAAGGAATACTCACTGGAGGACAAAAACTTTTTACAGCAAGTAGAGAATTCAATTCAGTTTGAAAATGGCCACTATCATATTGGACTTCCATTCCGCAGAAAGGATGTTGTGTTACCAAACAATTCTGCACAGTGTTTGAAGAGGCTAGAAGGACTAAAATGTAAATTTATGAAGAATCCTCAATTTAAGGATCACTATGTAGAGTTCATGGACAAAATATTGTAAAGAGGCTACGCAGAACCGGTTCCAGAAGATGAACTAAATGAAGAAGATGGGGGAATTTGGTTCTTACCTCATCACGGAATTTATCATCCAAAAAAGACAAATAAAATTAGAGTGGTATTTGACTGTTCCGCGAAATTCATGGGAGTGTCTTTGAACAATCAGTTACTACAAGGACCAAACTTGGCAAATAATCTCCTGGGCGTATTGATGCGATTCCGACAAGAAGAGATTGCAATATTGGGCGACATCGAATCCATGTTCTACCAAGTGAAAGTGCCAGAAAAGGACCGAAATTTCCTACGTTTTTACTGGTGGAAGGACGGAGTTATAGATCAAAAACCGTTACAGTATAGGATGACTGTTCATTTATTTGGAGCAACTTCATCACCGAGTTGTTGTAATTATGCCTTACAGATAACTGCAGAGAAGCACAAAGAACAGTTTGCCCCCATAGTAACAGATACTGTGAAAAGAAATATGTATGTGGATGATTGTTTGACTTCTGTTGTTGCAGAGGAAACTGCTGTATCTTTGATTAAGGATGTCTCAGCTTTGTGCAAGATGGGTGGATTTTATTTGACCAAATTCATCAGCAATAGTGAAAAAGTCCTAGAATCTGTGCCAGAAATAGACAGAGTTCAGGAAGTTGAAAAGTGGAACTTAAGTGATGAAAGTTTAGTAGAGCGTGTTTTAGGTGTATATTGGTTCATAAAAAAGGATGTACTTGGATTTCAGTTGAACAATAACAACCAACCAGTAACTAGGCGTGGCATTTTAAGTGTCGTTAGTTCCGTCTATGATCCCCTTTGGATTGTTTCTCCCTTTATTTTGACAGCCAAATCCATATTACAGAACTTGTGTAAAAGGGGGATAAGCTGGGATGAAGAAATTCCTGCTAAGGAGCTAGTGAAATGGAATAGTTGGCTACAGCAATTGCCAGATTTAGAGAAAATAAACGTCTCAAGATGCTATAAGTCAGCGAATTTTAAGAACATTGTCAACTGTCAACTTCATTGTTTTGCTGATCCAAGTGAGATTGGGTACGGAGCAGTGTTTTACCTCAGACTTTTGAATGAAGATGGACATGTTCACTGTGCATTTGTATTAGGAAAATCAAGAGTTGTGCCCCTGAAATCTGTGAGTGTACCCAGATTAGAACTGACAGCGGCTACAAGTGCAGTGAAACTTTGTCAAATGATAATGAAAGAACTGGACTACCTTGTTTAGCAAGTATTTTATTGGACTGATAGCATGACAGTTATTCGGTACATATCCAACAAAATGACACGTTTCTATACCTTTATAGCAAACCGTCTAGCGATAATTCATGAAGCAACTGAAGTGGAACAGTGGCGTTATGTAGACACACAAAAAAAATCCAGCTGATCTGGCATCAAGAGGAATGAACATGGAAAAGTTTTTGAAAACTCACCAATGGCTACAAGGACCAGACTTCTTATGGAATGATGAAGATGAGTGGCCAAAGTGTTGTGAAAACTTGAACATTCCAATTGATGACCCAGAAGTAAGAAGACCTGTGAATGTTTGTACAAATGAGACAACTCAACGTGAAGGAGTTGAATGCTTAATTCAGTACTGTTCAGACTGGTTCAAATTAATCAAGATGACTGCATGGCTAATCGTCGAAAAGGAATACTTAAAATCTGCAGTGAAAGCTGAACAAGAAGAGCCCAAAGAGGACAGGACAAAGGAACGCAAAAAAGAAGTCAAGAAAAAATTACAACTGACAATTTCAAAGAGGACTGAAGCAGAAAAGGCTCTAATGTATTAGGTGCAGCAGAAACATTTCAGCGAGGAAATTGAAGCCTTGAAAAATAGGACCGATTCTGGAAAACAGAAAAGCATAGGATAATAATCCTGCCAAAAAATTCTCCAGTGTCTAGTCTCATCATTAAAGACGCTCATCAAACCATTGGACACTTGGGAAAAAAACTCGATCGTAAGTGTTTTAAGACAGATATATTGGATTATTGGTGCAAGTGTGATGATTAAAAGTTTGGTATCCAGATGTGTGATATGCAAGAAACACAGAGGTGTTTGTGAAAAACAAAAGATGGCAGATCTTCCAGAAGAAAAACTTAAGGCAGATGACCCCCCCTTTACCAGGCTTGGAATGGATTTCTTTGGACCCTTTGAAGGTAGAAGTACACTGAAGCGTTACGGTGTGATTTTCACATATTTAGTTACAAGATCAATACATCTTGAATTGCCTTTTTCTCTGAACACAGATTCATGCATAAATGCCATTAGAAGATTTATAGCAAGAAGAGGAATACCAGCATTCATTCGTTCAGATAATGGCACGAATCTCGTTGGTGCTGCTAAGAAAATGTCAGAGGAAATACAGAGATGGAACTTGCATCAGATACATGAATTTATGCTTCAGAAGAAAATCCAATGGGAGTTCAATCCGCCAGCTGCTTCACATTTTGGAGGTGTATGGGAAGGACTCATAAGATCTGTTAGAAAAGTTTTGTATTCAGTGATGTGTGAACAAAATATTCGCATTAGTGATGAAGGACTTTCTACACTCTTTTGTGAAGTTGAAGCAATTCTAAATGGAAGGCCAATTGCAGAAATGTCAGAGGATGTACGCGATGTGGATGCGCTAACACCAAATCATTTGCTACTTTTGCGACCTGGTGAGAGATTTCCCCCTGGACTTTTTGATAAAAAGGACAATTATGTGAGACGACGATGGCGTCAAATCCAGTACTTAGATGACATATTTTGGGCAAAGTGGAAAAATGAATATTTGCAGCTTTTACAGAAAAGGCAAAAATTGACACAACCAACTAGAAATATGAAAGTAGGTGATATTGTTCTTGTGATGGACAACTCTCCAAGGAATTCATGGATTAATGGGACGAGTGATCGAGACGATGAAGGACAGAGATGACCTTGTGCGAGTTGTCAAAGTGAAGACTGGATCATCAACCCTGATGCGTCCGATTAGAAAACTCTGTCTGCTTGTTGAGTCCGAGTGATGATGACTGTGTGGCATGGATCTGACAGTGACGATAATTGGACCATAAATAACTTTCGACGATAATTGGACCATAAATAACTTTCGTATGAAACAATTGAAATTATTTTATTTGGCATGCATTATTTGTATGTAATTTTTTTGATTGGCCTTGTTTGTAATGAGTTGATAATTGTGTTTTTTGTGGAAACCCAATTAAGGGGGCAATATGTAACGGCCAATCCGGAATTTTACGGTTTACCTAGCTACAGTTTTTCTTTGTACGTCTCGGAAGTCGAATCATGGAAGGCACGATTTTTTGTAGCCTATTGTTTGTTACTCTGTACGACTAGTATACCAGTGTCTAACAAATTTGGTATGTATTTATTTAATTTAAACAATGTCTTGAGTATATTTTGCATAAGTATTTTTGCTTTATTTTGCATAACTTTGAATATTGAAGTGTAAACATACCCATGTGTTCACAATGTACAGTACGTAACGAAAGTAATTCTCAATCTTGCTATTTTGTATATTTTTATCTTTCAAGTCTTAAAGAACTTCAGAATTTATAATACAGGAATTATAGGATTTATAGTAAAGATATTTATGTATAAATTCAGGAAAAATAACTCATGTATAGTACGCATGCATTATATTGTTATTCATTGTTTTTTGTAGTCAATCTCATCGATATGACATGTTGGAATCTTCGGATTAAAATTTCGAATCGGTGTGAATATGACTTTTTCTACTGGTATAAACTTGGAAGGCTACATAAGGTAACCATTCATATCTTCTTCTAGTAAAATAGCCAGATATGAAACAGATGTGTCAGACTCTGTTGTGTTTAGAATTTCGAGTTGAAAAGGTTATTTCGAATCAACTTAGGGATAAAAATAAATATTGTATATAAATAAAACTCTTTATTTTTTATATTCAATGTTTTCCCTAGTAATACAGCTATTTCTTTTACTAAAGCATTATATGGCAAAATGTCAACAACTACAATTTTTACGACTTTTTTGTTAAAATTATAATATATGATGAGTATTACTATAGCAGAGTGTGTCTTATATACATTATATATAAGACACACAATAATTCTATCGTCTGGTTTCCAGTGGGGGCATCTCAAAATGTAAAAATTACATTTTCTGTTTTTATGGAGTACTACAAAATTTTTTGATAGATAACGAGGATTTTTAAAAAATACGAAAATAATTGAGAAATTCACAAATTCATTCATTTTCGATTTTAAGAGTTTATATTGTAAACATTAGTTATGACCCTCTCTTTCATGAACACTTCATGAACACACAGTTACGACGTTAATCAACCTATCGGTTGAAAAATAGTTTTAAAATCAGCTAGGTAAATTTAAATACAGGTTTTTAATCTTGCAATTTCTAGGTATTATAAATGTTATTAATTTTGTCAAAATAGTTATAATTATTACGCAAAAAATTCAATATGGCAGTAATATGTCCCCAACCATACGTGTATTAAATGTGTATCTCCATATACAAGAAGATACCTGTGATACATATGATCTATTGAGATTAGATATTATAGAATTAATTTCCCGGACAAGTTGCTTAATATTCTCCTAAATATGGTTATCGTATTATCTGCTTTATGATTGGTAGACCCGGGTTCGATTCTCGTTAGCGGCGCCGCGTCAAACGTAAGACGA